GATTGCCTCAGGTTTGACTTACTTCGCTCTGTGATTGGTCCAGAAATCTCCCGCAAGACGCTCAACCAATCAGATGTAAAGCCAAAACCACGACTTTGTGATTCGCGTTTTCCCGCGCTCTAAGAAGTTTGTCTGTTTTTACTCTGATCTGTCATTGGCTAATGGTGATAATACCTTTACTCTGGTTGGCCTTCGCGGTTACTATGGTTTTTGTTTTTGGACACTTGACTGAAAACTGCGCCAATGTGGTTTAGGCTTGCAGAGAAAGAATATGTAACTAGTTAGGGACGAGTAGGAGGGAAACTTACAGTCACAACTCTACATAAGCAAAGTGAAACGTGTTTCAAGACTAAAGCTATCTTACTTTATTTATTTATTTATTTTTTTTTTTGTAGTCTTTCTTCCACACCGTTTTAAGGAATGGTCCTTACTGTGAGACGTTCGTCCGAAGCAATCTTCGTCTCACAAACTGGAAGCGGAAGCTGGGCTGCCGGTGTCAGTACAAGCATATCGTGGATTGGTGTGGCTGCTCACCAAACGACTTTAAGCCCGAGGATTTGCCTCGGCTGAAGGTTAGTGTTAAATTGTAAATGGTTACAACTGTTTGCCCTTATTGCTCCGTATTACTAGATGTAAGAAGCAAAGAAACCTTTGTTAGGGAGACTCGAAACAAAATTTAAACCCAAGTAACGTTCCTAGTATCGTTTGCCATATTAGAACGATGTTTTATTTGTTGAGCTACGAAGCCACACGCTTTTTAACTTTGGCTTCGTGTGATATTTCCTTTGTTTCAATTTGTCAGTTTGAGCCAATCAGAACTCAGATTGAAAAAATATAAAGTAAATTACCCAAGCCGCGGAAAAACGCGTGTGCCCAAGTTGCAATTGATTTTTAAGTTTCGCATCAGATTGGCTGACTGAGTGGCGTAAGTTTTCATAGTAAATCGCAGAGAGTATTGAACAAAAGCAAACCATCGAAAATTCCGGGATTTCTATGAAAATATTACGTAAGAGGAATTTTTAATTGCATGTCAAAAGTTATCCGGGATTGCATCGGTTTTGTGTGCCTCCGCCCTGTGATTGGTTAAAAAAAAAAACTCGCGCCACTCTTTCAACCAATCTGATGCAAACAAAAAGCCAGTCACGACTTGATCACCTGCGCTTTCCCGCACTTTGGGCGGAATGCTTGGTTTTAGTATGAGTTCTAATTGGTTCTTCAGAATATTTTCCTCTCTTCTGAGTGGTTGTTGTGATAACTGTGGTTTGGTTTTTACGACACTCGATCGAAAAGGGCTCTATTTAACTAACAGAGAACGAAAGATAACCAGGTGCAAATTTAAAAGCGTGTGGCTTCGTAGCGCAACGGATAAAAGATCGTTCTAATATTGCAAACGTTACCAGCGTTCAAGTCTCGTTTTGAATCTCCGTAGCAAAGGTTCCTTCACTTCTTAATAAATTACTGATCGCAGCTCTAAACCTTTTATTTCATCACAGAGCAAGTCAACAAACTTCTTCGCACGTAAATTCGAGGCGATCGTGAACCAAGAGGTCATCAACCAGTTAGACGCTTGGCTTTATGACCCATATCCGACCGACACGCAAGGATTGAATTACTACTGGGAGAATCTTTTCCATCGCGAAGACTCCATCACCAAAACTAGCGACGTGTTTAGAACATTCTTCCATGCTTTTGCCAGAGTAGGCGAGAAAAGTTTAAAAGCAGTAGCCTCGCAAGGAGCTAAAAGCCAGAAATGTCCAAGTGGGAGGGTTTTAGACATTCAGGAGATCACACTACTAAATCAACATGATCAATTTGGCGGGCTATTAGTTTTGTATGATGTTGAATATTCAACAAAGGATGGCGATAAACAGGTCGTCACTTTAGAATCGTGGCTGGCTCCGTTGAGTCATGAAGAGCTTTTGAATCAGAACATGAGTAACGGACCACAGCGACTTGTGGGGCTAGAGGTAACAAAAACTTATTTCCTACCAACAAAGCTTTTTACTGTTAATTTGTCGTTTTTTTTCCTTAGTTTATTATAGTAAATTTAGTCCTCTTTAAAATAGCATAATGTACTTCATACTATACTCCATAATATGCTTTTAAGCCAGATTGTTCCAGGCGTTTAGTTAGTAAAACGAAGTGAAAAAACGAGGGGGGGCTTGGGTCGACTCTAACCTCGACTCTAACCTCGACTCTAACCTCGACTCTAACCTCGATCCTAACTTCGATCCTAACCTCGACCCTAAACTCGTCTCTAACCTCGACCTTGACCTTGACCTCGACCCCGACCCCGACCCCCACCCCCTTGTTTTTTTTTTTTTTTTGCTTTGCCGCTACAATAGCGCCGTTTGCTATTTCGCTCCGTTTTACCAACAAAAGGCTTGGAAAAGGTTACTTTCAAGGCGGCTGTTTTAATAACCGTCGTAGAGGTGAAACCTAAGTGAAGTGCATCCTATATTGTAAAGAATTAAAAACAAATCAGGTGTGGCTTAAACTAACATTTAGGGCCAAAACACATCAACATTTAAGAGCGAGTGGACAACCAGAGTAAAACGGAGGGAAAATGTGCAAGCACAATCAAGAGCGCCAAGCTCGTGAAACTTTCAACCAGCATTTGGTGCAAGTTAACATACGACTGGATGAGCGCGGTTAGAGGCACGAAATGGTAATCTTCTAGTTAAACTTCGACAGCAATTTATCAGGATATTGGATATACTTGACGACTGTCGTTGACGTTATATTAACATACATCAGATTTGTATACTTGTTAGATCACATCTGTTCCTCTTTTCTTAGGTGGGCACTAGTTGGGACCAAAAGGAGAGGGTCTTTCGCAACATGGCCCGTCTGATGGGTCCCTGGGACGACCCTGTCTTGGTACACCGCTGGGTTCATGGCAAAGCATTTGATGTAAAACTTATGTGGGTGGACCCCATCAACGTGGTGACGGGAATTTATGAAATGCGCGTGGTCGATAACTGGGTGGTTTCATTTCACAAACCCACTTTCAAGAAACCAATGCGGCCTGGAAAGTGGACAATTAAAATGATTTTCTCGCATAAAGGCGAGGATATGGTCATAGGACAAACGAAATTCTTAGTGGTTCCTCTGTCATTCTCAAAAGGCCAACCTATTAGCTCTAATGAAGCTGTCGCCGCGAACAGCGGTCCCCCGGGCGGGATTTATAACGCTAATGATTTCTTAATCGAGTTTGACCGAGAGGCAAACAACACAGAGGCCCTGGCCACGAATGCCGCGGAGAATTCTAGGAAGTCTGGGGAACCGCTTCATGATTGGATAGACAATGTTACAGAATATTTTTGGACGGTAGAATCGTCTTGCATAGTTCAAGGGAAGATTCCTGGTTGCGAGCAAATTCCACAATGTGAATCTACTTCATGGAGTTCAAGGTCACCAGATCCTAAATCAGAAATAGGTAGAGTGAAACCTAATGGTCGATTACGATAGTAAATCAATTTCAATGTAACACTTTCACTCCCAAGAATGGATTGATAATGCTTATTTCTATCCACACCGCATCATTCCGTTGGCGGTCGTCCATCACTCGTATGTTACAGACCGAATTGGACTTCACTTGGTCCAATTACCATTATACCATTTAGTGACTAACAACACCCTCTAGCTGACAAGTTTTGGCTGTCCTCAATACCTGTTTGAGGCATTATGCCTTGAAGGGGCGAGAAGTTACAGATCGAGATCACAACTGGGAGTTAAAGTGTTAACGGGGTTTTTTTTCCCATAGAAATTTTTAGATCTTCAAATTACGTTCAAAATGTTCCGCGAACGAAATAGTGTATTTATTATTCTTGCCATTATAATTTTGATAACTGTTATAGCGTTATATGGACTAAAAGGTTACAATTCACTCATATCTTTTGGTTGAAATTCCTCTTAAATGTTTAGAGCTTCTTCGGAATTTGGTTCATGCTGAACTTTGAGACTGCCTATTTAGGCTAATGCACTCTCCGACCGTAGCTGTTGTATGCACAGTTATTCGTTTAAAAGAAAGTCGAAGAATTTGTTAGGATAAAACCATGTGCTATATTAGGGTTTTTAATAGAATTAACTGCCACTCAAAATTTTACACGCGCTGTTGTTGGGGAAAATTAAATTACTCATCTTCCACAGTTGTTGGCATGAGTTTATGTAACTTAGACCCATTTCCAGCCGGAAGAAGATGAATATATCCCTCCAATGTGATGAAGAAGTATTTATTGAATTTTGATAAATGCACATAACTTTGCATTTAAAAAATGCATTTTTGTCTTGTTCAGTTTTCCACTCAAAAAATCAAAGAAAAAATACTTTTTCATGCCAAATTGTCTTGATGGATCAAAAGACAGCCCTAACTTCAAGTTTTAAAAGGCGATGATTAACTGTTAATCACCTTTGCATCTTCAATACGAAGAGGTTGAGGTTTTTACAAGCTAACTTGCTTCATATAGTAACTCGTTTTGTTAAATTAAGGAGCTTTGGTGGGGCGAAGAACACTTGATGACGCTCTTTTATCTCAGAGTGTTTGAAAAATAAACAATAGTCAAAATCAATCCACTACCGGTTTGAAGTTTTCTCTGTTGTTCGTTTGTTTCTTTGCATGCTTGTTCGTGCTTCGATTTCATAGATTTAATTTCGTTGCATACAAATTAATGAACTAGATATATGCATTACAAACGATCTCATGATTATGCGGGTGACTCTACAAGACCCGACTCTTTGCACCCTGACATTAGCACGCATATTCTCCATTCTGTTCGATTCGTTTCCCGTGGAAAGAACAAGGAAAACTTGTTTAACAGTCAAAACCTTCTTTAAATGGCGATCATTTTTTTTAACTCTTGTGAATTTAATTATGTGTGATTCAGAAGTGATACTGTCAGGTGAAATTAAATGTGAGACACTCTCATGCATTAAAGAGTTCAAGGGCGGTCAATCAATACATCAATATTCATTTCACACGAAATACTGTCTATAGAAGTCTAAAGACCGGTGGCGAGGGCGCTTCTCGAACCATGAATACTCAATTTTCCGGTGAAACCAGCATATTTCTTGAGACACAAAGCAGCTGACAGGCCTTCCTTGAATTCGGGGATTTTGAGCACGTACAGAACAGGGTTCAACAGGGAATTGACAAAATGGAGGAACTTGGTCACATGAAACAGTTGAATATGAGAGACTGAAGGATTGATTCGCTTCTGGCTTATGACCAAATTTTCAATAACAAAGGGAAGCCAAGCTGCCACGGATACCGCTGTCACCAGGAGACAAATGCGCGATAAAGAAGATTCCTTCTCGATTATTCGTTGTCGGTCTTTTTTCTGAACGTCTCGTACTTTCCTCCAGATGACTATGTATGAAACGCAGATCACGAGAAGCAGCGCAGAGAAAAATGGAACCCACATGAACAGAAGGATAACCAGTTGAGACGGGGAGCGGAAGACTGTGGAATGCTTCCGCGCCATCACATGAAATAATGGGATAGACCCCGCAGCGATCCAAGCGATAAGAATGAGGAGTATATACCAACCAGAGTTGAGGGCGCGGTAATGGAAAGGACGTAATGTCGCATAGAGACGTTCCAAAGCAATCATGGCAAGGAACGTAATCGACGCAAATCCTGCAAACATGTCGAAAAACAGAGCAGTGTCGACAAGGAATAGTCTGGAACTCCATAATCTCTGAGAGTCGCCAAAAAGGACAACGAACAACGGTATGGCCAGAGCACCAACTAAGGTGTCAGACATGGCCAGGTTGATCATTAGATAGTATCGTCGCTTGCGAAGTTTTCTGGTCCAGAGAAACATGGCGATCGTGAGGAGGTTTGCAACTGTGATCAGGAACGCTTCAAGAATGAAGAGAGAACACCACAGTGTTGCTGTGGACTTGTTCATGGGGAAGTCAGTCGAGCTGATGTTTTTCAAGTGAATGTTAGAATATTCTAGAGATAAATTCAGTCTCATCTTCGGTTCTCCTCTGAAAATCTGTAAAAGAGGTAATAAATTGACGTTGAAATTCAAGAAAACAATGACATTACATTCAAAATATTTCAAGCTGCAGAGTTCATAAATTGATAAAGCTGGCAATGAATCTTAAATACATCCTTTTTTTAGCTAGAAACCACCGAAAGGTGAGAAAAAGAACAATTTGAAATTTCAAACTTACCGCGGCTAAAACTTCTGTGATTTGACGAAGACCTCATAAGTTTGCATTCTTTGCTTATTTGTCCATCGTTCGACTGTCAAATCAACACCAAATCGTCTTCTTGTATCTCAGAATGAGAATAAAATGTACAGAAAGAAAAGTGTTCTAGTTTTAAATTTTAGTGTTGTGGCTCTGAAGGAAACCAATGAATATGAGGTGCCCCTAAATGAGGCAAAAAAATTCACTAAAATATTCTTTAGAGAACGTGCGCGTCAATGCCTTGTGCGCGTTTGGCATTTTCATTAATTACTGATTTGCATACTCATTAATATAGTCATCTGGAACTTTGACACTTTAGAAAGTAGACGAACTTAATAGCCATACAAATACAGAAGTGTGTACTATCAAACAATGCTGTATAGAAGCCAGCGTGGTAATTTTAACTTGTATCTGACGTGCAACACGTTTTCTAAACACATTTTTCTTGAGCAATTGGTTGCACTGTGATTGGCTGAGGCGCATTTCACGTCTTTCCTTCAGCGATCGAGAAACCGTTACTAAATACAAATTTTACGAGAGGAATCTGTGAAAGGAACAGAATTGGTGGTATTACCACCAATTCTTGTGAAACGTCCGTTCAAGGTAAGTTTACCACCTGAATTTGTCCTTTCTTCTCCACAGTGAAGTAATTAAGGATTTATGGTAAAGAAGATCGCCGCCTTTGCTTGAACTTAACTTGTTCGAAGAAGGCGTGAGAGTGGTTCAACCCTTTATTAAGCAGAGTTTTTGCCCTCGATTTAATCGATGCAACAATGCCTTTTCAAAGTTGCGTGTTGTTTTTATTTTCTGTCGGCCTTTTTTTATAGAAATTCATGAAAATTTTATTAAATCGCTCAAGACTGTAGGCGATCGAAGTAATCTTGAAGTCATGACGGAAGTATCGTGGAACTCTTGATAGAGTGTTTTGATTTGGACAAATAATGAACATTTCATTGCTGAAAACTGCTCTCGGTTTTTAGAGTTTCCTAAGTGCAACAGCCAGCATAACGTGAAAACAAATATAAATTAATCCCATGCATGGTATGTAAAGCGTAGAAACAAGTTTTTCATGGAGACTCCGATATGCAAGTGATTACTCGCTCACCTAGGTGTTCACAGCGTGGTGATTAATAGGCCCTGACTCGTCCGAGCCCGACGCCATATTGGAATGGTAACCGCGCTTAAACGATAGCGAGGCTTGTCAACACTGTCGCTTTAATGCCACTCTTCGAGTGAACAAAAAAATACCGAGATCAGACACAGACCCAACACTGTAAATTGCCTCGAAATAAAAGCCGTGGGAACAGTTAAAATTTATTGGCTGATTGATTGAATCATATTATCATATAAACATCGGCGGCAGGATCGATCAATAGCACTTTAGCGGACGAAGATAATCCTGTGCTTTTCTCACTAAAGAAAACTTGTGGACTTCACTGCCGTATATCGTTTTTTTTTTATCTCTATAAGTCAAAAAAACTTGCGTCACATAAAATGCGTTCTGAGGTATATAGTCCTGAGTCGGAAAACTTCAAGGTTTGTTATCAGATGCAAGTGGGAGAAAAGCTTGTAAACAATGATCATTGCGATTACAATGCAAACATTATTGAACGACTTTGACGCAAAAGGTGACACAGAAATGGAAAACAATGGAATTTGGCGAAACAGGAAAAGGAAATGTCATGCAAAAGGAACAGAAAATTGTTTTCTGTTTCGTGATGGTTTTGAGAAAAGGTGTCAGGAAGGGAATCACATGAGACTGAAACTGTTCTTGCACAGAAGAGGAAGTCTTTTCGTATGTTCCGGCCATATTATTTTTGTTTCTTTATCCTTTCTTTCTTCACAGATCATGCCTGAACAGAACATGAAAAACGTAACCCTGGAAGAAACGTTAAAAACTGATAGAGAAAATGCTACCATCCCTGCACCGCTGGTTAAAGATAAAGCTACGGCCATATTTTGGTGTTCTTTCTTCATTCTTGAAGCCCTTGTGATAATAATCGGGAACCTCCTAACAACCGCTGTGTTTCTCCGGACCAGAAAACTTCGCAAGCGACGATACTATCTAATGATCAACCTCGCCATTTCTGATACTTTAGTCGGTGCTTTGGCCATACCGATGTTCGTTGTGGCTTATGGCGAGTCTCGGCAACTATGGAGTATAAATCCTCTGAGATCCGTCCCTGTTGAAGTCAATATGTTTTTCGACATGTTCGCAGGCTTTGGCTCTATTGCATTTCTTTCAATGATTGCACTGGAGCGACTCTACGCGACGTTGCGACCGTTCAGCTACCGCTCCCTCAAGTCAGGCTGGTACATTCTCTTCACCGCTATCGCTTGGATAACCGCGGGCTCCATCCCTACTCTTCATATAGCAGCCATAAATTTTCCCACAGCCTTCCACTCCTCAACTCCAAAGGCTTTCGTTATCTCAATGTGGGTCCCATTCCTCTCCGCGCTGCTGCTTCTGATCTGCGCTTCATACGTTGTTATCTGGAGGAAAGTGCGAGACGTCCACAAAAGTGTCGAGAAGGAATCTTCCCTATCCCGAATTTGCCTTCTCATCACAGCTGTTTCCCTGGTGGCCTGGCTCCCCTTTGTCATTGCTAATTTGGTATTTAGTATGCAGCCAGTGAACTTTACATCCTTCATGAAGCTGTTTTATGCAACCAAGTTTCTCCACTTCGCCAATTCTTTTTTAAATCCCGTGTTATACATACTCAAAATCCCTGAGTTTAAGGAAGGCCTGTCAAATCTGTGCCGCAAGAAACGTCCCATACCGGCATGTGACTTAAGATCTCCTTCATCCAGGTCAATGATGTCATTGAAATGACGAAATATTTGTGTAAGTCTGGGAGGGGAGAGCAGGGAAGGAACGGGAAGGAGGAGGAGAGATATAGGCAGTTAAACTATCATAGATTTCTAAGATAAAAATATCTGTAATGTGATCCAATAAAATGTAAATATTCTTTTATGTGATCTTAAGTATTTGTAGGTCTGATGGTGATGAGGACTCTGTGTTCAAAGGTGAAATCACCCCGCAGGCTCATCTTATCATATCTTCACATGTTCGCTCATCAGTTGATTTGGAACATGAATATATGGTTAAGTTCTAGCGATAAGATTCCAATATATACGGTATTAATTTTTTTTCTTCGTCCTTAATAAAGTTGCCTTTTTTCGGTTGCGTTGGGAATTCTTGTGTTTTGCTGTTCTCTTCGTGACTTAGACTTAGTGACGTTTCATAATAGCGCCTAGAGATGTTTTCTGGCTAATAGAATTCACGTTTATCCAGAGACTTCTTTGATTATTCTATTTAATTTACGTTGTACACCGATACGTTGGTTCCTCGGAAACGATCATAAGCCGCGTATTTTTGGTCGCGAAAGCTGACAAATTCAAAATAAAAAAGTTTGTTCCGAGTACCATATAACAGACTACCTACTCACCTCACTTCCCTGGGCCGTAGTATTAGTCCTTGGTTTAGGGACATTACTTGTGTGCATTTTAATTCAACAAGGGCATAATGCTATTTGACAATTTATGAAGCTCTGGTCAAATTGACGAAGTCAACCGAAAGGGTTTCCAAATAAGGCGTAAACGTTATTTTGCGATTTTGATTGGTCTGAATCCCCGCATAATTTTCAACTCTTTCCATGTTGCTACACGTGCAATGCTATTCTAAAATAGTAATCATGTTGATCCCTGACATAACCACAGCCTTCTTTCATCTGCAAGTTTTGACAGGTATAACCAACATACACCGGCCAGAGGTTCACCGAAAAATCCGTGATCTCTGCTTCTTATGGTAAGTTACCCAATCACCAAATCGAATTCTTAACGAAGAACCAGAGTGAACCAAATTTAAATTCAAAAAACCAAAAGCGTGAAGCTCAATAACAATTATCTATTCGGTTCTAATCTAAATCGGTTAAGATGTGAAAAAGAAATCACTTTATAGTTCAGATTCAGTGCGATTTTCATCGGTCATAATACTGAAAAGTGACAAAAAAAGAATGAATCACGATGATTTTGGTTTTCTCGCCTTTGATTTACAGGCCAGCGACCTATCAATGTTGTTGATTCTGGTTAGTTAAGTCGTGAGGGTTGACCCCTTTGATTTTCCTTTCGCAAACCCCAAACTACCTCTATTAAGTTAGCCGGGTTCCTTCTTTCGCAGAATTATCTGTTTTTAACTTAGCTGACCAATGCTTTGCCGCATGGACTTAGCAGCTGTTCTGAACGTCATTTTCTCAGGAACCGAACCTTTTATTTTCTAAACACTTTTCCTTTGTCATAACTTGAAAATTTCTCATTTTTGTGATAAGAGATGATGGCAAAATCCAGCAAAAGTCACGTTTTTATCGCATTGGTGATAAATACCAAATGATTGCATGTCGATGAACGATCGGCCAAGGAAACAATAGAGAGGTTTAAGAATCTGTCTGGAAGATCCATTTTTTAAATTAAGATGGCGACGCCCTGCTGTGTTTAATCAAGTACAGTAGTAAGTTTCTGCCGCCGTTTGCCACCTTCGACGACTCGTCATAACCTAAAGCCGTAAACGAAACTATTACACCAATGAAAGGCTCTTTTGGGGGTCATAATTCCCTACAACATCTGCTTCTCAGTAAAAATACGTTTCTTTTCTTTCATTCCTTCCTTGAAGGTTGCATCAAAATTGTTTCAGCTTTCAACTTTTTTGATAATGTATTACTTTGATTTTTGTTTATTATTGCTATTGTTAGTTGAAAATCAATCACCTGTTTGGTTGTTTTTT